TACTACTTACTTTCAACTCTGCTTTGTAAAATGTATAACTTTACATTTTTGTGTGTTTTTGTTTGATATCTAGTTGCACTGTTACATCAAGGACCATTGTTTGATTTTTCACACACTGCCTGTTACCACAGCACCAGAAACAACATGAATTCTATTTTTGTTGAAAACACAGAAAAAAGAGAACTTAGAAATCATTCTATTTGTGCCTAAGTTTAAGTCATTATAATAGATATGCATCAAAGTTTACAGAAATCTCTTCCTTGATTTTTGGATGATTAACTCAAAGCAAATGTCTTCACAGTCACTTACTGGAAACTTAATTTCTATAATTTTGTAGCATTTTAAAATGTATTTTGGGGTGTTCAATTTAACTTTAAAAACTGGCATTATCCTTCATTATGTACTTGAAAAACATCTTTGTTATTATGTAATTGGTTCTGGATTCTTTTCGTGTTTACTTTCCTTTCAGCTTCCATTTTACAATGTTTTGCCTTCTGTCTGAGTCACTATACAATATTTATATAATGTGAAAAATTTGATATTGTTGACATCAGACACACACACACACACACACACACACACACACACACACACACAAATTAACACCCAAATATGGGACACTAGATAAATTGTAATAGATATGGAGAGAAATCCTCATGAAATAGAATCATAGTATAGAGAATGCTAGCAAGGATAAATATCTCAAATACCAGCCATATTGTTTTTATTTCAACAAACCTTTTTCTGCATATTTTAATATCTCTAAAATTGGAACCATCTAAAAATCAATGGACTTTCTCAGTTTAATGGATAATATTTCCTTATTATTGTTGTATAAAACAATGTCTCATAATGACATTTTTTATTCAATTAGATGTTTTTATAAGTCCAGTATCTATAATGGAGATAAACAGAGGTTTTAGAAGGAGAAGAGGGAGGAGTAAAATACAATTATTAATTAATTTATTAATTAATTTATTTAAATATATATTTTATTGATTTTTTTACAGAGGGGAAGAGAGGAATAGAGAGCTAGAAACATTGACTAGCTGCCTCCTGCACACCTCCCACCGGGGATGTTCCCGCAACCAATGTACATACCCTTGACCAGAATCGAACCTGGGGCCCTTCAATCTGCAGACCGACGCTCTATTCACTGAGCCAAACCGGTTTTGGCAAAATACAATTATTTATTAAGGGCAAATAAAACTTTGTTTTTATAAGTTGTTATCTACCTATCACAATCCTGTCCATTATATATATGGAAATATATAGCATCTATTACCTTATGCTGGAGTCAGTTGTGAATGGGTTTGCCTTATTCCCTAAAGTCCTTAAGAGTAGGACTATGTAGTTATCCTCCTTCTATTTCCCAGTGCTTAGCATGTGATAGAACTTTAAATTTATTTGTTCAAGTAAGTGAAGTCTAAAAAGAGTTGTCTTCTACAGAAAGAACAGCAAATAATAGAATGTATGTATTGCAATAAATTTGTAAGGTACTTGACAGGAGTATATTAAGTTCTCTGATAAGAAACATTAACTTACTTGGGCTATTTGATTACTCTCTAATTCACTGATGCATTAATTTTCTGCATGTAGTAATTACCAAGTCAGGAATTACTAATGAAGAAATGAATTAAAATCTACTTTTCCAGGGCACCTAACAATGCTCAGGGCCTAAAGTATTTCTGAAAAATAAACATATGCTCCAAGAGTAATTTTTCAGAATTAGCCTTGTTAAATGTCACACATGTGATATATATGTATAAAGGTCTCAATTTTCTAAATGTTTATAAAAACTAACACACTACTGCAACTGACACATTGAACGTGGAAAACAGATGGTATCAGAGTGATTAAATGTAAACACACCCATATCTTGTACAAGGCCAGCATGAACAAATTTAGGAGTAGACTGAAGGTAACATAACCAGCATGGCTAAGTAGGTAGTAGAGATGATAAGTGATCAGTTCTAATAAATCAAGAAAGAAATATTCTATATCAATGTTGTCATTTTCAGTGTTCTCTGAATGATAGCAAAAATTATTTCAATCATCAAGTATATGGTGGGGAAAATTTTCCCATCAAGGGCATCACTAGAGAAGACAAAAACTGATATTGAAATATACATAAGAAGGAGAGATTTAGAAGGAATGGGACTTTCAAAGTGAAGGAAAATAAAAAATAGATGAATTTCCAGTTACAATGGCAGCATAAAGACATTTTTATTCCATTCATCTTCCTGAAAAGTAACTAAACAAGAATTTAAAAAATAAAAACAAAACCAAATTTAAAACCTCAATACTTTCTGTCTTTAGTGAACCAAACAGCTGTAATTCCAAATAACAACTGAGGAATAACAGAATATACATTTTGTTCTCTACCAAAGCAAGAGTAGATGCTGAGAAACAACATACAATCCTTCCCCTCTGTCTCCAACCTGAATGGGAAAAGTTTGCCTTTAAAAGTATATAAGACAGTCCAGGAATATCCCCTAATGAGGATACAGCAATTGAACTATGTTGGTCTGTTCCTATACAACCCATGGGAGTTCCACTGAGGAAGAAATCACATTGGAAGCCCACTCGACTGTGAGAGTCCTGGCCAACCATCCAGGGCAATGGTGGAAAGATAAAGCAAGGTGAAGCAGAGAAGAAAGGCAAAGAATAGCACATGACAGCACAGATACCTGCAAGGGCTCTATTGTGAGTCCCACCAAATGCTCCAGGCTATGCAGGAAGGGAAGAGTTGATTTGGCCAGAATGGGTCCAAAAATTGCACACTTCAATCAAAGCTGAGGAGTGCTTCAGCTCTCTCCTCCAACTTCTGCTTACTCTATTTTTCAACAAAAAGCTGACCCATTTAAAGAAGAGTAGCAAGTGAGAACTAGCCTAGGACATGTGCTTAAAAAGTTTATTCTTTGACTAGAGAAAGCATTAAGTATTTTATGGATCAGCGTTGTATTAGGTGGTTTGGCTACATCAGTGAATATTACAGACGCCTGCTCTCATGGAGCTTCAATCTAGTAGGGAGAAAAGACAATATACTATTAACATACAAAGCTAATTAAATTAAACATGTTTTAGAAAGTAATAATCATTACAAAAATTAATAGATCATGTAAGAGGGATCAGAATGCTGGAAGAGAAGGCAATTAGCAATGTTAAATAAGACAATCAGGGGAGCTACACTGAACAGATTAGATCTGAATAAATACTCAATGAAAGTACAGAAACTAAGAAATCAGATAGATGTCTGAAAGAGCATTTTAACCACAGAGAAAGACCTAAATGTGTGGATTTCTGAAACATTAAAGGAACTAAAGCAGGAAGAACAGGCACAGATGAACAGAAATTGAGATCAGAAAATTGATGAGGGTGCAGGCAGGCAGTTGGGGGAATCCTCACATTATGCAGATCTTTGTAGGCCATTGAAAGGACCTTGGGTTTTGCTCCCATGGAACTGGAAAAGTAGTGCAGGGTTCTGAATAAAGAAGTTACAAGATCTGACTAGTGTTATGAAAGGAACACTCTTATTTCTCTGTTGAGAATAGACGTTTGAGGGCAAATAAAATAATAGAAGACCAGTTAGAAGCTACTTAAGTATTCCATGCACAAAATATTAGGTCATGGTAGGTCAGGCAAGAGTTGTGGCAGTTTAAATAGTAAAAAATGATTAGATTCTGGATATAAGTTGAAAGAACAGTTTCTGACACATTGAAAGTGAGTTTCAAGGAAAGGAATTTCAAGGATAATTTCCAGGTTTTCAGCCAGAGCATGTAGAAGGATGATGTCATTAACTAAGATGGAGAAAGTTAGTGTTGTTCAACAGGTACAAAGGCAGGAATCAGGAGCTGAGTTTGTAAGCGTTGAATTTGATTCACTTATTAGGTGCCCAAGTGGAGATATCAAGAAGGCTATGGAATGGATAAGTTTATAGAGTTCAGGAGAGAGATCTAGGTGGGAGATATACTAATAAATTGAATTAGTGTCATGTTTAGATGGTTCTAAAAGGCAGGATAAGCTCAGAGACTGATGAATTCATCAAAGAATGAGTGAGAATAGAAGGGAGAAAAGATCTAAAAGTGAGTATGGACACTCTAACATTAAGATGTATAGAAGTACAGGGAGAAAAAAAAAAACTAACAAAGAACACTGAAAAGTCAGGCCAGAAAAGAAAAATCAGCACAAAAGGATGGGCAGGTGTGCATTCTGACTGAAGTATATGGCAATGTGGAGGTCATTAATAACCTTGAAATAAATATTTTTTATGAACAGGAGCAGGGAAATAAAAGTGTTTGGAGAGGTTTAAAAAAATGGATGGAAAAACATTGAAGAAAGTAAGGACAGACAAATCATGCGAGGAGTTTGCTGTAAGAAAAGACCATGAATGGAGTGTGGAGAAGGACTCAAGGGAAAGTTTTTATTATCATAATATCTGAGATATAATGCATGTATGTATGGTGGTAGAAAAGGTTGATTATAAAGCAGAGAAAGGGAAAATGCCTCTGCATACCTTGGAATTGACTCAAAGAGTTTCAAAGATCAGTAAGGAGAAGGTAATGATTTAGTTGTAACAGAGGTTGCTTGCGTGTGGGTTCAGTCAGATGAGAAAAGTGAGGGTTTGGGGTGGAAACAAAACAAAATGATTCCTAAAATCTTTTCAGTAGCATTTCATTTGAATTAGAGTGATACATTATGAGAACATACTTAGAATAATATATTTCCCTTGCCCTTGGAACATTAGGACACATTACTAATAGGAGAGAGATAGGAAATGGCCTTTTTTTTTTTTTTTTTTTTTTTTTTTTTACAGAATATTAAGTTACCTTTTTACTGAATTTTAAATTAATAATTAAGGATTATTAAGGCTTAGATAATTTTTAATTTATATCAGACTCTCTCAATACAAAGCAGAATTTTGGTACCAAAATGCACTATATGCACTTTCTTTTAGTTTCATTTTTAAATGTGTTAAAGATTTTTAAGAATTGCCTTACCCAGTGAGTTTGACTGCATGTGTCCGAAACTTCTGGTATTTTTTTGATTCTTCATTCTTCACATGTCTATATATTCCTGACTTATAATGGAAGAAATCCTCGTGGACTTGCATTATGGCTAAAATAAAACCCAATAGGAAAAATTACACACTTAAAAACATTAACTTTACAAACCTCCAGAAATTCTCACAAAACAACCCATGGGTAAATTGCCAGAATAGAATTTAAGAAGTAATCTTGTAATACAGGCTAATTTTGATTCCTGCTTAATTTGGTTGGTTGAAATATTTTGTTGTTGTTGAACTTATTGGGATGACATCCTATAAAATAAAAGCCTAATATGCAAATCGACCAAATGGCGGAATGACCAGTTGCTATGATGCATACTGACAACCAGAGGGCAGATGCTTAATGCAGGAGCTGTCCCCAGCCTGCAGGTTTTAGGCCATCTAAGGCAGGTGCCAGTAGGGTCTCCACCCAATAGAGAGAGGCAACCAGTGGTGTAGGGTGGGCCAGCAAGGGGGCAGTGCCAGATCGGCCAAGGCAGGTGCCAGTGGGGGCCCCCTGGATCACTCACTGGTTATCCTACATATCAGCCTTCATTGCCTGCCAAGCCTAACTGTGCACAAAGCTCATGCACCAGGCCTCTAGTCAGTTAATAAAATTATGTAGGTTTCAGGTACACAATTCCATAATATATCATCTTTATATTGTATTGTGTGTTCACTAACCCAATTCAAGTCTCCCTCCATCACCATTTATCCTCTTTTTATCCTAATTTGCCTCCACCCAACCGCCTTTCCTTCTGATATCACCATTCTGTGGATTGTCCATGAGTTTGGTTTTATTTGTTTGCTTATTTTTATTTATATTTTTTGCTTAATCCCTTCACCTTTTTCACCTGGAACCCCTCCTCCCTCCCTTCTGACAGTTGTCAGTCTGTTCTCTGTATCTATGAGTCTGGTTCTATTTTGTTTGTTAGTTTATTTGAAGAGTATTATGCTAAGTGAATAAGCCACTCAGAGAAAGACAAGAACCTTATGATTTCACTTATATGTGACTGCAGTATTTTCTTCTTCTAAGAACAACTTTTATCTGTTTGAGTATTACTTAAATTCACATTATACCTTTAAAACACCAGGTATTCTTAATTGTCAGAGGCACTATTACCAGGAATTGAGTCTTTGCAGAGAAGGACCTCTGCACTTGGCTAGTGATTTGTGATTTCTCCATTAACCTTATGCTTCACCACAAGCCTCTAAAACTCCAATTAAGCTAGCAGCACAGGGTGAGTCTAGCAAACCAGGCTTAAAGTAATTGTCCTTAATCCTTAGAAATAAATACAAATCTTTCCTCGGTGAGCTTGAATAGAAAACAAACCCTTGGCAAAGGAATATTCTGACAAGATTCCAGCCTCCCAATTCTGGAGAGCTGAGCCAATATTGTATTCTTTAGAAAGTAAGAGCTTACGCTTTATAAAGCTCTCCTTCATTTCCTCACCTAGATTACTTCTTTTCTGTATTGTGGGCTTTGTTGAAGGACTTGGGTAATTCAGAATGAAGACTTTAAACTTCTAAAAGATGTGAACTGAAAATATTTTTAGTTGGGACAAGATAAACCCCCTTCATAACTATGTACCCTACTTGTCTATCTTAGTTTGACATGCATTTTACATAGCATAGGCATTTGATAGCTGCTCAAATAAAGCTACTATTCCAAAGTCAAATATAACTATTTAATGTTCCACTTTTATTTTATTTTTAATGTCCCATGCATTTTCTGATGCTGTTCAAATATTTTAAAAGAGGTTCAATTTTTTTTTTACCAACTTTAAAACACATTCCCATAAGTTTTTAAGAATTTATATAATTGTAATCTATGCAGATCTTTGCTATCGTTCTATTTCCATAACCTAAACTTATTTTTCATTATACATATTTTAGAAAAATGCTCACAGTGTTAGTCAGTCAGCATTCTGTTGCCTTTTACATAATTTTGTATTGAGACTGGGGGGAAATGCAACAATGGAAGACATCACTTTGCATATACAGCAAGATGAGTCAATCAGCATTTATAAAAATGGGAAGATTTTGCAAGCATTTTTCCTTATTTTATAGAATCACTCGAGGCCTAGTGCACACATTTGTGCACATTGAAAGAAAATTTATTAGAGGAAATATTTTAGAAGCCAGGGAAGGACAGTAGGAGATTGGCCTGCTGGGAAGGGACAGTGGGAGGGCTCCAAGACTTGTCAGGCCCATCTGGCCCAGTCTCGATCGGCCAGGCCCCAGCAGCAAGCTAACCTACCCTCTTGTGGTCAGTGCACATCATAGCAACTGGTCAAACAGTTGAGGGCATGGTCAGACACTTAGCATATTAGGCTTTTATTATATAGAATTAGCTTCTGTAGCTTTTCCAAACTCTCTGTTAACCATCACAGGTAAAATACTCTTCACTGCAGAAAAACACTGACAACTAAAGAAACATGGGTGAGAAGCCATCACAACGAACATGAAGGCAGCTCCTTTCTTCCATTTCTGACACCAAAACAGACTTGAACCCACAGACATCTGACTATATAAGCTACTATAGTACGATTTTATTTTGAACCTGCATCAAATTTATGCAGAATTGTCATATGCTTGAGGGCAGCACAAACTTGTCTTCACTGCTCTCTGCCTCTCACTCTCAGCTCAGGCTGGCAGGAGATAGCTTCTCAACAAACATTTGTCCAATGGGGGTTGAATACTTTATTATTTTGAAATTTTATCTCTTTATTTTTGATTTGTTGTATGAAATTCATGAACATTTAACTGTGTGAACACACAAGAAACCTAAGGTGTTCTGTTTTAAATAATTATGATCCCAATTTTTATTTTATTTTATATAGAGAGAGAACTTATAATAGTACTTATGAGCTGAAGATTCAAACATGGTTAGGTAATTTGCCTAAAGTCATTTAAGCAGCCAATGTGAAAGTTGTATTTTTAAATTTATCCTTGATTTCAAATGAATGTGCTCTTTCAAATCTGTCACACAAACTCTACTTAATATATTTAAATTATACATGTATTTCCCTTCTTCTATAAGTGCCAACAAAAATGACACAATTGTAAAGGGAAAAAAAATTTTTCCTTTTCATTTGTTTCAGGTTTTGCTTAAGACCCAAGGATTTTAAAAACTAAAACATGTCTCAAGATATGCTTAGTGTAAGCTTCAGTTTCTCAATAAATAGGAAGTGATGATAACAATCAATACAAATTACTCTAACACAGTTTTAAAATCCACAGTGCCTTCTAGATATTGATTCAATACTAATCAGGTCACCATTAACAAAAACAAGAACTGGCCAATAGTTCCTTAGGTCTATATCAAATATTTTAAATTTAAGCATTGGTTTAATATATTTGGTTAATTACAGTACATTGATCATATATTTTGGGCCTTTTATTGTTCACAACCTGTATTTCCATTTAAAACTCACTAAATTTGTTCTTCATGCCCTTCAAAGAAATGTTTATTACAGAGAATATACACTGTGATTGTATCTTTAGATATATCATTGGTGAAAAATAAAATTCAATAGGTAAGCAGAGAAACTATATATCAGAGATAATATCTTACAACTCAAAGTCAATGTAGAGTAAGTTAGCATATTATTTTTTATTTACTGCTTACTCTCTGTAACACAAATTGATAAAAATAGAAAGCCTTTTATAAAATACAAAATCCTACTGGCTTATTTGATTTGAATTTATAGAAAAGTAAGTGTAGCTGAAACTGGTTTTGCTCAGTGGATAGAGCATTGGCCTGCGGACTGAAGGGTCCCAGGTTCGATTCCGGTCAAGGGCATGTACTTTGGTTGCGGGCACATCCCCAGTGGAGGGTGTGCAGGAGGCAGCTGATCCATGATTCTCTCTCATTGATGTTTCTAACTCTCTATCCCTCTCTCTTCCTCTCTGTAAAAAATCAATAAAATCTATTTTTAAAAAAAAAAAAAAGGAAAGTAAGTGTATCTACTTTATTTCTACCGCTAAATCTTGATTTTTTTTTTCATTCTATTTCCTGATCCATTTAAGCTAAAATTGAAAAAATTTCTAGGACTATGTATGAATTTTAAATAGGACTGAACAATTAAATGAGCTCCATCACTTAGCATTTCATGTTTGACTGCTTGGTTCATAATCAAGCTGTAAGAATTTATCAAACTTTGATCAAATGTTTCATTAATATTTAAGAATTAAATCTATGGAAGAATTTATTTTTTAAATAAAATAACAACTAATAAAGTTACTATGTGAGTGTATTTTCCATGATTTCCTTAAACCCTTATGAACACTCTAAAAGTCAACATTTTCTTTCTATTATTAATCTTCTTTTTCATGATCTAAACTGTAATGTTCTTTATTAAAGGAATAAATAACACACAACCATATTTCATCCAAGCATACCTTGAACTGGTCCATTATGTATGATTTCTTTCATTATTTCAGTTTCCTAAAGGAGAATTATCAATGAGCATTGTTATTGTTATTAGAGCATTCTAAATCCATTGTCTGGTATATATTGCCAGGTCTTGTACAATCAATCTAGGAGTAATACAATCCAATGTGTCTTGACCACCTGCCATTAATCAGGCTTTGAAATACCCACATGTGAAATGCCCCATTGCTAAAGTTTGCTAAAATAACATGCACCCATTTATTTCATTGACTGTAACACTAACAATAATGTTGGAATAGAGGAAAAATAATTACTTTTTTATGGTCACAAAAAATTAAGTTAAAACCATGTTTATCATTTGCTTTTAGAGGCATTTCTATTTTTTGACCACAGGAGCAGTTCTATATGCATGTTCAGGAGATTCTTGGTGTAGATTTTACATACAAATGTTGCTACCCATTCTGTAATGCAGCCCTTAGTAAAGAGCCAGGTTATTCATTCATCCATTCATCTATTCACAGGTATCACAGAGTACATATCTGTGATAGAAACAGGATAGAAATAAATATTGACCCTGAACCTATCATCGATGTATTTACATTTTGGTAGAAAAGACAGACAGCAACATAAATAACGGCATTACAAAATGTTAAGTTCTGTTATAGAGACAAGCTCAAAGTGCCATAGGTGCAAACAAGAAAGGGAAATTAATCCTACCTAGAAGGCAATAAAACCTCAAAGAGAAGATGGATCCTTGACACATATGTGGGATTTTACCTGGAAATAGGTGGGAAGACCATTTGGGTAAGAGGAATCAGCACTTGTCTAAGTAGAGAAGCGTAAAAGCACATGGTGTGTCTAGGAAGCAGACAGTAGTCTTTATATCAGGAGCAGTATGAGTGAGTGGAGGGGTAGATGCTGGCCAGACAAAAGTCTGTAAAAGTAGCAGGTCAGAAACAAATCATGAAAGCCTGTATGTCGTGGTAAGAATATTGGACTGTATTTCACAGGTAACTGAAAGACAGTGAAGGTGAGATATTCTGAAAATGAGAAGGTCTGGGTGACACTGACACGATGGGATAAAATTTGCCAGTGCTTTTAACATGACAAACTAGAATCCAAGGGCATCCTTTGCCCATTACAGCTATGTCTATTTTAATTATTTTGTGGAGTAAGGCAAAGGATTGATAAAATGAGCTACAACCACAAATAAAAAGTCAGTAATAAAGGTTGGATTTAGTTTTTACTTGTCAAGAATATTAAGTAATTAAAACATGATTTAAAAACTCTATTTCCATGGGCATTTCTAAATGTAAGTCAAGCATCTATACTGCTCACATTATAAAGATCAGGAATCATACCCAAACTGGAAATTTTTAATGGTCACTTTAAGAATACCAGAAATTATACCTGAAAACATAACATTATATTAAAATGTAATGGGTTTAGTTTTTAAATAGCTTTAATAACAGGAGAGCTATATATATATATATATTTATTTATTTTTTAACAAGTAAATCACTGTTATTTCTTGACATTCAGACTTACATTAGAAGAGACTCTGTATGGAGGAGAGCATTGGTAGATCCTATTAGATTTCTCAATGTTGTTGGGACATGGCTTTGTGGCATGACGCTTTCCCCGCCCATCAGACCTACTAGCCATGGCACAGGCATTATTGGTAGCATTTTGGTCCTTGAAAAGTGGGTAGCATGCATGGGATACCAGTCTATCAGAAACAAGCAAAGAAGTAAATGTAATACTTAGGAAAATGCCATAACACACCTATCTATGTGCAACTTTACTGAATTCAACATTCTGATGCTTACATGTGTAACTTTCAAAATGTCGACTGATTCTAAAAGAGCAGTTCACTGATGTTACACTCTCCTCTGCCTCCCCCTTGTTTCTTCATTATACTTTTTAAAATATTGCTTCAATCACTTTAATAAATAACTATCTACATTATAGAATTTCCTAAGGATGAAAAGTGACTCAATAAAATCCGTACTGATATTAATAGGGGAATTACTTCATTTTGTATCTATAATTGTAATTCAGAAGAGCCAAGTTTAATGTAAAAAAGGCAATACATTTTATTATATTGAGATGGGATGCTCTGATAAAGCATATATTTATGTAAGGGTTTTTTTACATTTTTATTAAGTTATAGATAACTTCTCATAAGACTTCAACTATTTGTGGTTCATGATACTTTCATAAAATAGTATACGCTAATATAATTTTTAAAGTTATTGATAATAAAGTAGAAAATTATCTGAATTACACAAAAGATAAAGAAAACAATTTTAATCTCTAATTTTGAAACTGAACATAAAAAGTCCAAATTATTTGACCCCAAATCTAACATAATTCATTGAGTAGAGAAGCAGATGGTAAGGAAAATAAAACAATTGGTTTTATAGATATTCAATGTTTAATTGGCCATGTAAGTATACAATCAGATTAGTTCAAGAAAATTCAATAGTGTTCAATAGATTAAGAAAATATGGGCAAAGACAGTAATGAAAGCAAAGCTATTAAAAACCTAAACACTTCAAAAAGACAACTTATATTAAATGGATAATGAGTGCAAATCATTGAATTGTGTTGTCCCAAATTCACATATTAAAGCTCTAACCCCCAATTTGAAGGTATTGGAGATGGAACTTTCCAGAAATAATTAGCTATAAAAGAGGTAAGGAGAGTGGGGTTCGTAATGAGACTAGTGTCTTTATAAGATGAGGAGCAGACAGGAGAACTCTCTCTGCCTGTGAAAACATAGTGAGAAGGTAAGCCAGGAAGAGGGCTCTCTCCAAAAACTGAATTGGCTATACCTTGATCTTGGGCTTCTCAGTCTCCAGAACTGAGAAATTAACGCTTATTGTCTAAGATACCCAGTTTATGATATTTTGTTATGTTAACCTAAGCAGACTAACACAATGAGATTTAACTGTGTCTCAATGATCATTTGTATTTTTAACCCCTAAAGGACTTTTATTTTTATTATAATGCAAAACAGAAGCCAAACAAGCACGCATACATCAGAAGGGTATCAGCCCAAGATTAGAATTAGTCCATTCTAAGCACTATCTTACTAGGCAAAGTATGTGAAAATAAATTTTTAAAGAAATTTATTACCACTCATCAATATCTGACCTCCACTCTTTCATAGCAGGTCCAGAGTACTCAGTGAATGAGGAGGAGGGAGGGGGAAGTGAGCAGTATATAAGTATACTACTAAATATCACCTGCAGTTTACGTAGCCAAATAATTCAGCTCTTAAGTAGGTTATCAGAGTATATGAGAGTAAGAATAAAAACTACCTTTTCTCATCAATATCATTAATGGAGATAATTAATGATACTGATGAATAGAGGCAACTGTAAGTTACTTCTTTATTTTATTCATCTGATTCTAAACCTGACTTATCTGACATCTATTCATTTACCTGGATAATTTAGAGGTATCAATGATATCAATTACTCTATCTCTGCATTTGGCTTAGAGCACATGTGTCAAACACAAGGCCCTCGGGCCAAATCCGTCCCGCCAGGCCTTGCAATGTGGCCCGCATGGCGCTGTCATCACTGTACTCCGCTGCGTTTCCATCACAATGACAGTTTATGACTGTTCAGTAAACCATTCGGCCCGCGATTTAGGCTGGATTTTAGATTTTGGCCCCTTCTCTGATTGAGTTCGACACCCCTAGCTTAGAGCAACAAAGAAGGCAATGCTTATTTGAATCTTTCTACTAATTTAGCTAGAAAGCATACATTCTTCAAATCATTATTTCTAATAGTTTATAAACTCAGCAGATATCAAATGAACCATACATTTATATAGATGTAGCATATATATTTGTACATTTTGGATAAAAATTTTGAACTATATATTTTTTTCCATATTCTAACCTTAAGCAGCCCTCATAAGAAACCTAGAAATATATGTTGGGCAGCTATTTACCCACGTTTTCTCAGGTACCACCAAGCCCTATCAATGCTTCCACTGTTGCATCCATGGCGATTCTTGGGACAGCAAGAAATCAAATTCTGAGGAGACAGATTGGCTGTGTATCGACCCTTAGACTGAATTGCTATCCGATCAGCAGCCACACCTGTTTCAAAGAAAGTATTGATTAATATTCAAATGGCACATGGAATTTCTAATAATTTACCTATCTTTTTATTTCACCACTAAACTCGTCTTCTAAAATTTATGTAATTTAAAATTAAGGCAAAATTTTATTAATATACTTATGTATTCCAATAAGTTCACTGTATCATAATTTCAGCCATAAGTTTTATCTGATTTTGGTATTGCCCCATTGTCTTATCAACTTCAAAGACTTTTCTAGTTCCTTGTTTCTTTCATGTTCTATATACTTCTGAATTCTTCATTAAGAAATCTATCAATTGAAACTCCTTGTGGACCAAGGCTATATGTTAATGACATTTATATCCCCTGCCCCTAGAACAGTATCTTAAATATAGTCATGGGTAAATATATATTTTTTAAATGAATGTAACTAAACTAAGGAAATGAGAAAAACTAATTATAGAAATATTAATTGGAAATTCATCTATTTTAATCTGATATATTGGAATAAATCAAATTTCTGGGTTTTATAACTGGTATCTAGTTTAACTGTCTGTGAGACCATTCTTAAATTAATTCAGAATAATATGATTCTATCTGATAAAATATCTAAAAGTTACACAGCACACTTTTATGCTTATAAAATTGTTAAAAATCATGATCCTAATCTTATTTCAGTAGATTTGAATTCATATATGCCTTTTATTATTGAAACCTACAGTCTATGCCTTTTATTATTGAAACCTACAGTCTTCTGCTTAAATAATTTCCTATCATGGCCATCATTTATCAATTTATCCCTTTTCCCAACACATATTTATTGAGCATCTACTAAATGACAGATATGCTAAGCATTAGATATATGACAAAACACAAGAGAGTCATAATTAATTAACCAGTTCCAGAAAACTATACATTTTTTTTTCCATTTTGATCATGCTACCATGATAAACTAATGTAAGCAATGAGATCATGAAAAAAATTGGAGAGGGTGCCACTTTGGTACACACTGTTTGTTGCCGGGTATAGTCTCAGTCTAGGTGTTTAATCTCTTTTAATAGAAGGCAGCAAGTCATAGCCTTTTATCTAACTATCTATTTTTCTCAGAAAAAGTTATCATTTTTGCTCATTAAAACTGTCTGGGTACTGGAACCCCTCAAAATGCCAACTTATATTTTAAAATAACTTATTTTAAAATAATTCATTTATATATACATCTCTGTACATACATAGTTTTTATGTAACTACGGCATATGTATATTTTCATAGTAGAATTGCTGGCACATTTCAGATGCTCAATATGTGTTCCCAACTATTATTGTGTTAGGATATATTTCATAGGAACAAATGGCATTATACTGCTATCCTCCTCTGCTGTCCTCAAGAAAACAGTTCCCTTCTTTGAAAAGAAAATAGAAATCCTTTGATGCTTTGACTTTCAATACATGGGTTCAGAATCAAATATATTTTTTGAAATGTTATTGTAGCTCAGAATATACTTTACAATGTAGAGTAAAGAATATTCAAGGAGTCAGAAACTTGGCTTCAAGGATCATTTCTGCTTGGCTTTTGGCTCTGGGTAAGTTACTTTACCTATATGTGCCTCTTATAAAACCAAAGTCTTAAAAAAGTTGACCTGTAAGATTTATTCTAGCCCCATGAATTTGAAGATTTCAACTAAAGGACAAATATTTTAAATTCAGATGGTATGCAATATGTTGCTTTTATGTAGACATTTTTTAATCTCGGTAAAGGTTTAATCCAAATTCACTAGAAATACTTAGAAAAGGTCAGAAGATTAAAGAATGACTCAGTGTAGCAAATTGTTTTTCACTCTGTTTGAAGACTTTTATTGGGCTTTACCTCTGAGACACACACTATTATTTTCTCTGCTTATTTTATTCTGTCTCCACATTTGCTCTGTGACTTGTATCATCACCACCGTTTCCAACTCCACATATTCAGCCTCTGACATCTTGCTGGAATTTTATTTCACTGAATAACTACTGATTTATATATGTAAATAGTAGAAGCCTAGCTGGCGAAATCATGTGGCTTCACTTACAGGCACTTAACCCCCGCCCACCATGTGGGTCTTCCAGCATTAGGGCCATAGACCTTTTATAATATAGATTTTAATGTCTTATTTATTCCATTTTATAGCTTATTTTAAACACAATTTTTGTCATTTTAACTACTACTTTCTGATAGAATTTTCTAGATCTTCATAAGAACCTAGTTTCTTCTTTTCTTTATTGAACACATTAAAATATATATATATATATATATATATATATATATATATATATATACTCAATATATATATATACACATATATATATACATACATATATATATGTGTGTGTGTGTGTGTGTGTGTGTGTGTGTGTGTGTGTATATGTATGTATATATATATCATCAGTCTGGTTTTCCTGTGTCCTCTGAAACCCAGAATGTGTGGAAAACCCTGTCTCCATTGTTCTGGGGACAAATGCAGGCTTAGTCCTGTACTGAGGCCTTCTGTGGGTCTGTGACCTAGGGGTCCCAAAACACACTGTCCAAATCACCCGAGCAAGTTTACTCTTAGCATTTCACCACCAACATCCGTCCTAAGACATCTTCAGAAATACTCATTTAACCTAGAGTTAAAGCAGAATGCTTAGATATCACTTAGGAGGTGTAATACATTAACCACATGAATACAAAATGACAAATGACTTATCTGATTAAATATTTCCTATCTAATTAGAATAGGGCTTGAAGAATCCCCATGTGGATCCCTACTGCGGTGAGGACAAACATCAGACAATCAGGGAGCTATAGACAGTGGCATACATAAAGGAAGCCACTCCAGAGGTGACCTTGGCTATTGGCATTATTTCTAGAACAAAGTAGCGGATACTTAAACAATGAAGCAATGTTAATTACACAAAAATATCAGCATTTTCTGTCCTAAGGAATGCTCCTCTTCAGAGTAGGTTTCTCTAAGAGCCTATGTTCTTATTTCACAATGCTCTCAGTGCTTAGACTGTTTTTGAGTACTCTTTTGAAATTACCTTTAAAGCTTAGAACATAGTTTCTTGATAGCAGCCAATAAATATTGTTAGTGTATTTAATTGCTAGAGTACAACAAACATTCTTTTGAAGATAATTTGGTCAACAAATCTTGACATTAACTTGAGTGTTGATTTACTAGACTTCTGAACTTATAGGAAAATTGTTACAAAATGTGTATTGTTATACTTTTGAATGATCAGCAACACAACTTGAAAGTTATTCTTATTAAAAGACCAGTTATATTACTTTGGACTCAGAACCAATATATTTGTTTTGATCTAAAATGAAATTAAATCCATTCAACCTACTATCAGTTTATCCTGTCTTTGCTTTATGTCAAATTAGTTTATCAATTTAATATATTTTTGAAATATTTAAAAAAGGAAGAACTTAAAAATTGTGCATATGTCTATATCAGTATTATATTATGAATGAAAAGGAACCTTATATTCCTCTTACTATCTGTCCTTAAATCAAAGGACAAACAAAATAGGCAACTTTTTTTCATTGCTCTTTGATTTACTCTCTATTTAAGATTAAACCCTACAGACCAATTTTCAGAGTAAATGGAGTTTTATATAATGTTCAAGTTGCTTCCTCTGAGGAATAAGATTTTATTTTAATGCACCAAAAGTTAATATTTAAATTTTCTAAATTTTAAAACCTTTTAATGACTGTCCCAGGATCTAGAGTCAAAGGGAGAATTTAAAAGGAAGTAATTAAAATGACTTCATTACTTGCAGTGGAAAAAGCCCATGATGCAGCACAATTTTTTTGATCCAATGGGCCATGAGTCCATCCAGGCCATTTGTACGTAGCAACAAAAAACTCTGGAAGATCCGTTATTGCTAGTAAAGGAGCCTAAAGAAAAAGAGGCAGATGTGTCAGGCCATTTCAGATGTACCCTGATAACCATTCTAATAAAATTTCATGTTCTTTTATAACATTCACTAGGGACCTGTTGCAGGAATATTCCTGCAAGACTTTCAGCGGGCTTCCCTCCTGCCACTGCTACCTCTCCTGCTCTCTGCCCAGCTTTCCGGCCTCTCCCACTGTGGTGAGCAGGGCGCAACCTGCCCCACCACACCCATGCCAGCCACACCTGCTGCCACCACGTCTGGGGCCACCCCTGCTGCCTCCTGCTGCCACCTCCTCCACTGTGCACCTTGCCTCGCCCTGCCCTGCACATGCTGCCAGTGCTTTCCCTCCAGCAGTGGCAGCTGCTTTGCTTTCCACTTTCCCTCCCTCTTCCTTCTATGCTGTCTTCAGTCTTCACTTCTCCCTCCCTCAGCATATGCAAATTAACCACAATATTTGTTGGGTTGATTTGCATACTCACTCTGATTGGCTGGTGGGTGTGGCTTGTGCGTATAGTGGACTGATGGTTAATTTGCAGGTTACTATATTATTAGGTAGGATTATTGTATTTGTTTTGTACATTCAAGTTTTCTCAATGACATCTCTGAAAAGCATTAGTTAGGTACAGTTTCTAATCCACATATGTTTTAAAATGCCCACTCAATGTGGGGAACCATAACAGTACGAAATTCTAACAACAGTACACAGAAAGCTTTTCCTGGGTTACCACTCAGTACAATAATTATGTTTGTCATCTTAAATCAGAGCTTTCGTCATCCTTGTGATAGATCACATGGTGCTATTTAAATTTGGCCTCATACAGCCAGGCCCAGAGTAGCCAGGTCGCGTGCGACCAGGCCCAGAGCAGCAGCTGCCAGGCTGGGAGCGGCCAGGCCCGGAGCAGCAGCAGCCAAGCCTGGAGCAACCAGGTCGGGAGCGGCAGTGGCCAGACCCGGAGCAGCTGGTTGTGGAACAAACCAGAGCAACAGAGGCCAGGCCCGGAGCAGCCAGGCACGGAACAGCTCGCTCCTCGCCTACCCCCACCCCAAGGCTGCCTCTCAGACATAGCTGGAAACTTTTGTGGGAACTTGAGGGTCTGCTGAATCAAGTGATGAAGGCTTAGATCTGGATATGTTGAGTTAGTATAGCGCTGGGGTGTTGATCTGTGAGTGCCTTGTGCGGGGCCTGGATGAGGTTGGTTGACCTATAATATTTGGAAATGTCTTTTGTGTGAAATGTATCTTTGGGCATGTGGAGGTATTATTGATATGAGAAAAAGCTAAGTAACTGATTTACTATCTGAAAAGGGATTTACTATGGGGGAAAGGGAGGGAGGAAGAGACTGAACATAAACCGTGCACCTATGGATGAGGACAATGGGGGAGGGGAAGAGGGTGAAGGGTGGGGTGGGAACCTGGTGGAGTGGGGAAGAAATGAGGAACCTTTGTAATAATATGAACAATAAAGATTGATTTAAAAAATAATAATAAATTTGGCCTCATAAATTATGTTTATTTTTATGTCTCTCCTATGTTGGAGAATGTGTATGATTCTATATGAAATTAATTTTGAAACAATGAATTTGTGGCAACTATTTATTAACATGCTGGGAGCCCTAAGGAACATGATTTTTACACTAGTTATTAAGAAACAAAAGTGGGACAAATTGGTTGACATTTATAAAAATCTTTGAAGATGAAAAGGACTTTGGGAAATGTGTAATGCCAAATACACAATACATTATGTCTTAAGAGCACATGTTAAAGTCCTGACAGAGTCAATTTTCAGCTGCTACCTTTCCAAGAAAGCAAATTAAATGTTAGAGACTTTGCTCTGTTCATGTCATTCACAGAAAATGTAAAACACTATGACCTGTTCTTTGCCAAACCTTTCTAAAGAGTGAAGTTTCATTTCCATAAATAATGAGAAAACAAACCAAATAAGGGTCTGACTATTATTTTCCAGCATTTATGCATATTAAGTATTTGCAGATGCATGCATCATTTTTGATACTGCTTTAAATTTTTAAAGTATTTTAATAATCAGCGTTTTCTTTTTCCTTCTCATTAGCTCTAACAAAATCAGATAAAATATTATTCAATTTTATGAATGAGGAAATACATTTTTAAAAGTTAAATGCCATGCTAAGGCCTCTCAGTTAAGAGATAACCCTGAAACTAGACTCAGGTTATCAAATTCTTAACACTATGCTTCATCTAGCATTTCCATACTATATCAGGAATATACAGAAACTTTGCAAAGAAGTAAAATGTCTATATTTAAAAACTTTTATAAGTCTCTCCAAATTCAAGAATATTGAAATTATATCAAGCATCTTCTCAGATCATAATGGTATAAAATTAGACATTAACTACAATGAAAACAATCACAACAATTCAAACACTTGAAGGCTGAATAGTATACTAGTAAACAATGAGTGGGTTACCAAAGAGATCAAAGAAGAAACAAATGACAATAAAAACACAACAATCCCAAATCATTGTGACACAGTGAAAGCAGTCCTGAGAGGGAAGTTCATAGCATTACAGGCCTACCTAAAAAACAAAACAAACAAACCAAACAAAAAAAACCCAAAAAACAAAAACAAGGAAAACTAGTAATAAACCATCTAAATCTGCAACTTGAAGAATTAGAAAGAGAGCAACAAGAAAAGCCTAGAGTGAGCATAAGGATGGAAATAATAAAGATCAGAGTGGAAATAAATAACATAGAAACTAAAAAAACAATACAAAAGATCAATGAAATCAAGAGCTGATACTTTGAAAGGATAAAGAAGATTGATGAACCTCTAGCCAGGCTCACCAAGAAGCAAAGAGAGAGGACCAAAACAAAATCAGAAACGAAAGAGAAAATAACAGACCTTACATAAATACGAAGAATTATAAAAAAAAAAAAAAAAATTCTATGAGCAACTCTGTTCCAATAAATTGGTCAACTTAGAAGAGACCTGTTCCTAGAAAAATACAATCTTCCAACACTCAACCAGGAAGAATAATAAAAAAAAAAAATCTGAATAGGCTGATATCTGTGGAAGAAATTGAAGCAGTAATCAAAACACTTCCAACAAACAAAAGCCATGGACTAGATGGCTTCACAGTGGAGTTTTGTCATACATTCAAAGAAGAAATAAAACCTATCTTCCTCAGACTATTCCAAAAAATTTAAGAGGAAGGAACTCTTCCAAGCTTTTTCTATGAAACCAGCATTACCCTAATCTAAAAACCAGAAAAGACAATACAAAGAAAGAGAATTACAGGCCAATATTCCTCATGAACATAGATTCTAGGCCAAAATTCTAGGAAATCGAATCCATCATTATATTAGAAACATCATATACCATGATCAAGTGGGATTTATTCCAGTGATGCAAGGATGGTATAATATCCTTAAATCAATAAACATGATACACCACATAAACAGAGATAAAAACCATTTAATCATATCCATGGATGCAAAAAGTATTTGACAAAATCCAACACCCTTTCTTGATAAAAAACTCTTAGTGAGTAGGAATAGAAGGATCATACCTCAACATAATAAAGGCATATATGACAAACCCATGGCCAACATCATACTCACAGGTGAAAATTAAAATCATTTTCACTAAGAACAGGAACAAGACAGGGATGCCCACTCTCACCATTCTTATTTGACATAGTACTGGAAGTACTAGCCATTGAGATCAGACAAGAAGAAAAAAATAAAAGGCATCCAAATTGGAAAAGAAGAAGTAAAACTGTCCTTATTCACAGATGGTATGACATTGTACTACATAAAAAATGCCAAAGACTCCATAAAAAAACTACTAGACTTAATAAATAAATTTGGCAATGTAACAGGATACAAAATTAACACCCAGAAATCTATGACTTTTCTATACACTAATAAAGTACTCACAGAAAAAAGAGAAACTAAAAAAGCAATCCCATTTACCATTGCAACAAAAAATTAAGATACCTAGAAATAAATTTAACCAAGGAGATAAAGGATCTGTACCAGAAAATTTCAGGATGCTAAAAAAAAAAAAAAAAAAAAGAAATAGAAGAAGACATGAATAAATGGAAGACTATACCATGTTCATGGATTGGTAGAATCAACATCATTAAAATGCCCATACTATCCAAATCAATCTATAAATTCAATGTAATCCCCATTAAAATAATAATGACATACTTTAAAAACCTAGAACAAACTCTCCAAAAATTCATCTGGAATAAAAAGAAGTCCCTGAATAGCTATAGCAATCTTGAGAAAGAAGAACAATGTTGGAGGGATCACAATACCAGATATCAAGCTAAACTACAAAGCCACTATTCTCAAAACTGGCTGGTACTGGTACAAGAACAGACACACCAATCAGAAAGGATATATGCACCCTATGTTCATAGTAGTGCAATTTACAATAGCTAAGAATTGGAAACAGCCTAAATTCCCATCAGCAGATGAGTGGATTAGAAAATTATGGTACATCTACACAATGGAATACTATGCTGTTGTAAAAAAAAGAAGTAATTCTTACCATTTACAATAGCATGGATGGAACTGGAGAGCATTATAGCCAGTCAGTGAAAGAAAAATACCACATGATCTTATTCATTTTTGAAATATAAAGAACATTATGAACTGATGAACAAAAATAGATACAGAGGCAAAGCAGTATCTAATATACTGTCAAACTATAGTGGGAAGGCTGGGGTAAGTGATTGGTAAGTGATCAACTGAAGAACTTGTATGCATGCATATAAGTATAACCAGTGGACACAAGACACTGGGGATTATGGGAAGGGCACGTGCCTGGGGGAAGGTCAATGGGGGGAAAAGGAGACATTCAAGTATGTACTACTATTTGTAATACTATAAATAATAAAAATAATATAAGTTACTTTAAAGTCAGAAATAAAGAAGAAATACCATAAAAAATAAACACATAAAAGCAGAAGTTTTTCTCTAGCTGTTCTCAGATAAAGTCACAAATGCCACAG